ACTCGTACTTTGCACGTCAAGATATTCCAAAAGGAGGGGTATCTATTTACAGAAAAAACACAATGGAGAATGTCTCAAGCTTGCATTTGGAACTCCGCAGTATCCCTCTGGTATGTGAGATTTCGGGTGTGTCAATCAAGCTCAAAGACAGGAAATCGCTTTTTGTTATTGGTGTATATCGCCCCCCTAACAGGGATCGTAACCTTGTCGGCTCCTGTCTGACACCTTGAACTCTTTGCCTTCAACATTCAGGTCCAAAGTTATACTTATAGGTGATGTAAATATAGACCGACTAAAGCCTTCGTTGAATTGCTCTCTTTTTAATGACCTTTTATTATCCCACAACTTAACAAGAGAGCAGCTACCAGCAACCAGGATTACCCCTACTACCAAAACATCTATTGATGCTGTGTGTACTAATTTCAGCAAAGACATAATCTGGGAGATATTAAATGCTTCAATCTCGGATCATACTGGACAACTGTGCTATCTTTCTTTTCCTGCTGAGCACACACAAACTAATACATCAACCCGCAGACACATTAACGCCAAGAATCTTCACAATCTTAAGCTAAATCTTGCAGAGGAGAATTGGAACGCTGTCTTTAGTTCTGTTACCGTGGATGATGCATACAACTCCTTTATGCAGTTACTCCTTGAAAACATTGACGTAACTTGTCCTCTGAAAAAGTCTAGACGTAATCACAAACCCGAGATGTCTGCAAAATATGACCACGAAGCTAGACTCCTAAAACAAGAGTTTCTAGATGCTCAGAGAAAGTTCTTGCTCACCAACTGTATCCAGGACAAACAAGAAGCTTCTAAACGGAAGAAGGCTTATGATCTTAAACTTAGATCTCTTAGAAGAGAAATAAGTGCATCTAAGATAAATCAAGCCGTCAACAAAAGCAAAGCCATATGGCAGACCATCAACTGCGAGCGAAATAACAGATGTGATGTTTCCTCGAACTCAGTCAAACTGCAAATCGAAGGAAGGGAAGTGGAGGACCCTGTCGAAGTTGCCAATTTGTTTAATCACTACTTTGCAACTGTGGCTGAAGAAACAATAAGGAACAACCAAAACCAGGAAACCAAAAAGCAAGATCGATCGTCCAGAGTTTCTAGCACTGACAAACACAATGTAGTCTTTCCAATGCACAACCTCAAGCCGGTATCCCAAACGGAGCTCTTAGAAGTGATTAACTCCCTCAAACCTAAATCATCAACAGGGATAGATGGAATATCAGCTAGGATAGTGAAATCCTGCAGACAGGAGCTTCTGCTGCCCTTGCTTCACGTAATTCAATTATCACTCACACAAGGTAATTTCCCATCGAACATGAAGACAACGAAGATCTCTCCCCTACACAAAAAAGGAACTCGACTTGACATTGGGAACTATCGACCAATATCTTTGATTCCAACCTTTTCGAAGATCCTGGAGAAGATTGTCTTGCAGAGGCTTGTAACGGTTATAATATTACGAGATCAGAAAACGAGCGTTCGTACGAATTCAAATGGCCCGCGCAGAGTCATTAGTTCACCGAGCGGCCACGCACTGCGCTAGCGTCGCGACTCCTATAAAAGCCGCTCAGGACACGGGCCAGTCGGACTTGAGTGCTGGGCGAATAGCTAGCAACATCTCCCTGGTAGGCCGAGGGCGGAATAGCCCGGTAATAACCAGTGGTGGAATAACCCTGGAAACGTCGAATACTAGGTGTTAGGCCGAGGGCGGAATAGCTCTCGGATCCGCGCATATACATCGCGAAACCGTAGGTCGAGGGCGGAATAGCCCGGTAATTAGCCAGTGGTGAAATAACTCTGGTATCGTCGAATAGTAGGTGTTAGGCCAGGGCGAAATAGCTCGTGGACCCGCGACAATCGAATCGGTTAATCGTAAGTATAGTTGGTTTTTTAATTCCAAAAGTGAAACACGGTATATCCATTAAGTAGAGGTTTTATTTTATTTTCGAAGTTAAGATTTTAGTTAATTACGACCAGTGTTTCACTCACGGAATTAACGCCAAATTACTAATTTGTTTAAATTAAGGCCTAACCCGGGCAGTGATGAATGTGTCATTTACTGAAAGCTGATGCTTTAACGACCACATCTGAGCCCATATTTTAAAACTAAATACTATTATCATTACCACTAACCATGGACTAACTCAATTAGATTAGCTATCCGAGGCCGACAGTACAATTTTGTCCTAGGACGAAATTGCACCGACACAAATGGCGCTGCGAACAGGGACTTGGTAATTATATAGTTATCGATCGTAAATTTTTGCCATTTTGGCTGGCGCCCGAACGAATTGTTTTCAGTGAATGAGAATATTAAAACATCGAAAATGCGAGTTTTACAATTGTTCTTAAACATTTGGTCTTATCTTCTCTGGCCCGTATACTACGTAGTTACTCCGAGTAAAACGATTGCGGAAAAAACTCTCAGGACTACGTCGAGCACCGCGAGTAGTGCTACAAGTACGGGTGCAATATCGAAAACGACCAAATCGATCGAAACGACTAGTACTTCAACGATTACTACTACTACGAGTACTGGGGCGATATCGAAACCGACCAAACCGATTGAAACGACTACTGCGACAGACGCAATGTTAGCTTTGCCGATAACGACACAAGCTGTAGAATTAAGTTCGAAAACTCCGCCGGAAGAAGATCCTAGGACGAGTTGGATAAGGTCGTTAAATAAAGACGAGCTTAAGCGAGAGATGGATAGGTATGGGTTAGATTCGTCGGGAACAATGGACGAATTAAGACGCCGATTCTCGAAGTTTTGGAAAGAGGGAATTCCCCGAGGAAACCAGCAAACTCCAACTAATGATTCGGAAGGAGAGACGATTTCTGTAACGGGAAATCAGTTGTACGTTAGGCCAAACTCGATTGATGTGCCTAGTAAAATACCAGGTCACGTGACCACGAGCGAGGTTAATAAAATTAAAGAAATTTTAGGAATGCCAGAATATGTACCGTTCGAGGAATTGTGCAAATCAGTTGCAAATTTAACACGACGATCGACTACTTACGATACTAACGAGCCAACACAGCCAATGCGAGGCACGGGCGGATTAACTTACAGCTCGTTGCCTATTATGAGTACGCAAACAGTTACGTCAAATATGCCTACTCTTAGCAAAATGCGACATTTGCCGGACGAATATAATACTACGCCATCAGTTTGTAGTATTGTTAGAAAATGGAATGTGAAGTTTGACGGACATAAAGATCCCATATCATTCCTCGAACGACTTGACGAGTTAATCGAAGCATACGGGATTAACGATGACGAGATACTTAAAGCACTTCCCGAATTGCTTACCGGTACTGCACTTTTGTGGTACAGAAATGGGAAAGATTTCTGGCCAACATTCGCGACGTTTAGAGATAGTTTCGCGCTACAATTTCTGCCACAGGGTTATCAGCGAAACCTTGATGAAGAGATAAGGCGGCGAACACAGGGCGAAAAGGAGCCTTTTAGGGACTTTGTAGTTGCGATAACGACGTTAATAAGAAGGAAAGGCGGGCTATCGTTACAACAAAAGCTTGACATTATTTTTACCAATATGCGACCGGATTACAAGTTAACGATGAGGAGAGGAGAAAAATATTCTCTCTCGAGGAGATGATTTCACAGGCGACGCATGTTGAGAGTTATATGCGCGACAAAGCGTTATATCGCCCGCCGCCGCCGCCGTCAATGGCCCTGGTACCGGAAACCGCATATCAACCACGAAAACAACCGGAAAAGCATTTTTTCCAATGCGTCGTTAACGTACCGGAATCACATAAAGACGAACATAGAGACTACGGAAAACATAATGAGGGAATCAAATCAGTCAACCAAGTACACAATAAAACTTATTTTCAGAGAGACGGCTCTAACCAGCGGTGGAATAATCGCACGGTTTATCAGGGCAGGGATAACTACAATACACGTAGGCCGAATGCCGCGCATACCGCAAATATCGCGAGTATAGGAGAATGTAGGCAGGTGAAACAAACTGCACGACGACCGATCACATGCTGGAATTGCGATAAAATAGGGCATTTATACCGAGATTGCCGATGCCCAAAAGTTTTAAAATGTTTTAACTGTAAAACTGTTGGTATTAAAACAGTCAATTGTAGGTGCAATCTGGGAAACGAAACTCGGACTCTGGTGGTAGGAGCTCATACCCAGGTTACACAAAAACCCTCTAGTTGGAACGATTGGTTGGAGCGTATTAAAATATTTCCGATGGGTTTTGGGTCAGTCAAAGATCCCACGGACAATCGGCCGTACGTTGCGATTTCTATTTATGGGAAAAACTATTTGGCTCTTTTGGATTCTGGGGCAGCTGTGAGCCTGATTAGTTCCAAAGTGGCGAAACACTTGGTAAGTTGTGAAATTAGGCCTAAGCCAGTTTCTATTGAGACTCGATTTGCGGACGGTACTACTGCTAAACAAACTGAGCTTTTCGAGTTTGAGGCTACGATTGACGATAGGAAAAACGTTTTAAATGCAGTCCATCTACCTTCGCTGACTAGCGATGCTGTTTTGGGAGTAGATACGCTACATAAACTAGGCTTGATCACGTACAACGTTAAAACTTGTCATTTGAAACAAGATGACGAATTTGAAGTCACGAATCGTAAAGAGACTGATAACAGAGTTGCCGATGTTTTGTCACAAAACCCCGTTAAGCAGCCACCGGCTGAAGATGTACGAGTCACAATCTGTCCCGTAGTCGCGCATTTCAAGCCTTCGCTACAAACCTCAAAGGTTAACGAGCAACCAAACCCAGATCGTGGGTATCATACTTCGTTTGGGAAAGTAAGCAAATGTCCGTCCTCATACGACAAATATACTTCGGAATTAGGAGAGCCAGAGCGTGAGGTAAAACATGCAAAACGGATACGGCGTTGTACGAAATTGTACGATGACACCCAAAAGAACCTCCGAACTGCCTTAAATAGACAGGCTAACCTACGGAGGAGCGATGTGCGGTACAATGTTGTTCGGTCCGTTCTAAAGCGAACTCACGTGCTCTCGTCGAAAACCGAAGCTATTGCGAGTCGATTGGTGCCGAAATATGAAGGGCCCTGTTATTGTCATAGGTCAGTACAAAGTAAACCCCTCGAATGGAAATAGAAACAAGTATTTCGAGTTAAGGGTCTTAGGCCTTTTCTCGGACGGCATGACGATTTGATGTTGAAAAAGCGTCTTTAACATCACAAGAATATTGTTTTATTTTGTACGAGAGTTTTCATTTCAGTTACGTGAGATGATGGCACCCATTGTTGATTTCTCTGAAGTGAGAGAATTTTTTTTCATGCATTTTTTTCTCACCCCGAACTAAAGAGGGGGTGTAACGGTTATAATATTACGAGACCAGAAAACGAGCGTTCGTACGAATTCAAATGGCCCGCGCAGAGTCATTAGTTCACCGAGCGGCCACGCACTGCGCTAGCGTCGCGACTCCTATAAAAGCCGCTCAGGACACGGACCAGTCGGACTTGAGTGCTGGGCGAATAGCTAGCAACATCTCCCTGGTAGGGCGAGGGCGGAATAGCCCGGTAATAACCAGTGGTGGAATAACCCTGGAAACGTCGAATACTAGGTGTTAGGCCGAGGGCGGAATAGCTCTCGGATCCGCGCATATACATCGCGAAACCGTAGGTCGAGGGCGGAATAGCCCGGTAATTAGCCAGTGGTGAAATAACTCTGGTATCGTCGAATAGTAGGTGTTAGGCCAGGGCGAAATAGCTCGTGGACCCGCGACAATCGAATCGGTTAATCGTAAGTATAGTTGGTTTTTTAATTCCAAAAGTGAAACACGGTATATCCATTAAGTAGAGGTTTTATTTTATTTTCGAAGTTAAGATTTTAGTTAATTACGACCAGTGTTTCACTCACGGAATTAACGCCAAATTACTAATTTGTTTAAATTAAGGCCTAACCCGGGCAGTGATGAATGTGTCATTTACTGAAAGCTGATGCTTTAACGACCACATCTGAGCCCATATTTTAAAACTAAATACTATTATCATTACCACTAACCCTGGACTAACTCAATTAGATTAGCTATCCGAGGCCGACAGTACAATTTTGTCCTAGGACGAAATTGCACCGTCACAGGCTATTAGAACATCTTTTCTCTAATCAACTCTTGACAGAGAGACAACATGGTTTCGTCAAGGGAAAATCCACAACCACGGCACTTATTGACTTCGTAGAGTCCGTCATTGATGATATAGACAGTGGTAACAACGTTGTCGGCATTTTTGTTGACATGAGTAAGGCGTTTGACTGCCTGAGCCATGACTTGATCATCTCAAAGCTTAGCTCCTTGGGAGTATGTGGAACGGCTCTTGGTTGGTTTACTCAGTATCTGAAGGGTCGAACGCAGCTAGTCGAACTCAGCCACTCCAGGAATAGGACTATCACCACCGTTAGATCTGAAGTACGCCCAGTGTCCAGAGGAGTTCCACAGGGGTCCGTCCTGGGACCGGTACTTTATATCTTATCGACGAACGACCTTCCAGATACCACCGAACCCTTCAGTAAAGCTATAATGTATGCGTATGACACTGTCTTGCTTTCTTCAAACTCACCCATCAACAACGTAGAAGTCAATGCCTACATTGGTTTGAGCCTAGCTGCGGAGTACTGCGACAATCATGACCTTGTTTTCAACGCCTCAAAAACCAAGCTAGTTTCATTTAGCAACAGGAAAAGTTTCGTCTGCTGTATTCCCGACATTGACTCTGTTAGCTCTGTAAGACATCTAGGAGTCATCATTGACGAACATCTCGCTTGGGACGAACACATTGAAGCACTCTGCCATAAGCTAATCACCGCAATTTTCGCACTGAGAAGAACAATGGCTGTGAGCACAGAAGAGGCGGCACTAACAGCATACTATGCCCTTCTTGAGAGTATTCTCTGTTATGGCATTGTGGTGTGGGGTGGATCGTCGGCACAGAACCTTAACAGAGTTCTAATCATGCAAAAGAGGGCTGTTCGAACCCTGACTGGCATTGAGACAACAGATAGTTGCAGACCAGAGTTTAGGAGGTTAAAAATCCTGACCGTAGTCAACCTCTTCATACTACGGACTCTTACCATTGTCGACTCTTCCAGGACCTGTCGTCATCAGGAGGTGCACTTATACAACACAAGACGAAGAAATGATTACAACCTTCCTGCTCACAACACAAGGCTCTATGAAGAGCCCTCATACATGCGTGCCAAGTTTTTTAACGTCCTTCCCGTCCACTTGAAGTCTCTTCAACCCAGAAAACTGAAGAAAGAACTAAAGTGCTGGCTGTTACATAGACCATTTTATAGTCTGAATGAGTATTTGTCTTGGCAAGAACTTGAATAAATCATCACTGCAAGAACTCTGATCAGCAATTTTTTATTCTTAAAAAATAACAATTTGTATTGACTTTTATATAGCAACTGCACAATTCTGTATTGACGCCCTTTCAATCTTAAAGATTGTAAATAAAGTATTCTTGTATCTTGTATCTTGTACTTACCATGAGATCTCTTGCGTGGTAAGGCCTGCGCAGTGGATGACGATGGTGTATAGTAGTAATACTAATGGTCTACCTATTAACAAAAATGTCCCACTTATGGATTAAATTATAATAAAAGAAAAAGGCGCTTTACAATAATCTTATGGAACATAGAATGTTGTTTCATCTAACGGAATATTATAGATGAACCAACTTCTTTCAAAAATGAGTCCAATGTTCTATTTTTAAATCGATATTCCTGACACAAGATCTTCATCTTCTCCTGGTTCTTTACAAGATTTTTTTTCTTTCTTGTCTCCTCCACATCATTCTCAAGAAGAAAAGCTCTTTCAGACGAATCGTCCTTTTGAAATGCTTCAATTACGGTCCAAATTGAAGGGTTCAAATGTCCAACAAGTGTATTGAATTTGTTGTTCCATGCTTCGCACAAGTTATTTGTGCGATGTGCGTCTTGAAGAGTTGATTGTTGGACGTTCCATGTCTTCGGAGGGAAAAAAGGAGTGTAACCGAATCCAACTCCATTGACCAAAAGGGTGAAGCCCTTGGAAGCGCAAAATCAATGGTGGGATTCCGGCACAATATTGCTGAGGTGGAGGACCAACAATAACAACACAAGAGCTGGCTGGACACAAATATAAATTTATTTATTCTAATATATATATATATATATATAAACGCAACAATGATACTTAAATAACAATAATAAATAACACATTGCCCTAGCCAAGATAATAATTAAGTTAAAGCTTTTAAAACATTTAAAAATTTCTTTAGTAAAAATACAATTTAATTTAAAAATGAAAATCGAGTTAAGTGACATTAGGCGTAAGTGACATTTTGCAAAAGCATTTAGTATACTAACTCAAACAAATTTAAAACAAATTAGCTTAGGTGGCCACCTTATAAAAATCATTTAAAACAATTAATTTAATGCCTTTAGTCCTAGGCCTACATTAAATAATTTTTACATTTGAACGAACATGAAAAACATTTACACATATCAACAAATGTGGTCGCCTCGCAAAAATATATTCCAAGCGGTTAAAATTAACCGTCAAGGGCAAAAAAAAGGGTTTTACCCTCAATCAAGGGGTGTGAAACAGAATTAAGGAATAGAATTTAAAATAGGAAAAAAAATTAAGTAAGTAAATTTAGAGAGGAAAGACTAATTAGTTAAATTGCAGGTAAAAAGATTACAGATTTTGTTATATAAGTTAAAATAAAAGCCTATGTTGAGTGAGATTTCTTCATGATGGATGAGACTCTCCAAATGGACTGGACTGACCTGACCGTAAAACCTTGCTGGTATCCAGGTGAGTTAGCAGGAAGTAGAAGTAGGCCGAGAACATGGTGGCCGCTTCCCAGACACTGCAGCACGGTATTAGGCCGGAGTAGACATAGGCCTAGCTGCGTAGGTGTCACCATCAGTGGGTGGTGGTGCACAGTCAGTGGTGTGACGCAGTCCCATCCGCCCGGGAGAAGGCTCATCGTGGTGCAGTTGTTAGCATTCTAATGGTGGCAGGTTTCAAGTGGAGTCGCTGACCCTGATACAAAGTATAGATCACTGACCTGGCCTAATTAAGCTAACATGTCTCGGAGTCCATATATTTAGGTTGCACTAGGCCTGAATAATTCAAAGGGCGTAAAACATTCTCTTTACCTGCAGTCAGCGACCACATTTTTACAAAGTTGTTCTGTAGTCTAGCCTAATCAACATGGTTCTCTAGAGAAAGGTAACATGATCTCACATGAATAAAAGTGCATGAATGTGCTTGCTTACTATTCACAAGTTTAGGACAAACAAAATGGATATTTAAGTTATTATCTTGGCTAGGCTACTGTAATTGACCAGAGCAACAATTTAGGCTAGCAAAAGTTACTAGCACAAACAAAATTAGAACTAGCCTAGAAACTTTTGACATGATTGGGTCCAGACCAGCTCACAGTTAAACACAGAAATTACACAAAATGACTCAAAAATTACACAAAAATGACGTTAACACTTTAACTTGGTCTTTTAACCTTAAACATGAAAATTGGCTCAACTTTTAATATCACTTGTACTGACAAAGTTAACTCAACGAGGCATGCACATTGTGTTATCTAGTGGACTCGAAACTCTCAGAAAACAGTACAATAAACATCAAAATGACTCTATAAAACATTTCTGAACGATAGTGAAACAGTGAAAAATGAAACAAAATGAAATAAGCGAGGACTAGGCCTGGCGAATTCAACTTACCCGTGGTATGAAAACTCTTAGCCTAAGTACGTCATGCTGACGATGATGGAAAGGGACCTATGAAAGTAAAAACTTCAGGGTTCAGAAAAGAAAACTCTTCCGGAAGAAAACCCCGTTGTTTTGGAACAATCTCAAACCCAAAGTCTGAAAAACGGGAGCCACAAAATGTCATCCGACGAACGTCCAGCAGACGCGGCCAGTAGTACCAACCACGCAACAAATTAAACAGTGCCGTTGAGCATTGAGCACGTACACACGGCACAACCTCCCCCACGAAAACCTAACCTCCCGGGGCAACAACAGAAAACCAGGTCAACGACTCTGTCTTCTGGAAGGAAAACTCACTTCCAGGGGATGATTTTGCTGGGCCCAGCAATGGCAAAGAAACAAATTCGACACAACAGAGTAGTTCACATTCCTACACTGCAGGGTGATCAGGCCTACAGGGCAGGAACCTAACCTAACCTAACCTAAGATCTGGCTGTCCCCGAAAAGCCTTCAATTGGGAGATGTGGGCCTTTCTGAAAATGACCCCAGTGTCGGGGTGAGCAAGCCTCACGGTGACGGGAGACAAAAATTTCATGATTTTGTGTGGACCAGACCACCGATAACACAACTTCGCAGCACGCTTGTCTGCAGCACAACTGATTGGATGAGTTTGACAAAACACTAAATCACCAACCTTGAAAGGGTTTGCCTTGCGTCCTTCATTGTACCGTTTCCGCACCCTTTCCCTGCTGGCAATGAGATTTCTCTTAGCAGCGTCCCATGACTTTCGGACGTCACTAACGCCAGGAACAGGTAACAACTCCGCCACTCCCCAGAGATTTGAGAGTGGAGAAGAGGGTGGGTAACCAAGGAACAATTCGAAAGGCACGGCTTTGTGACTCTCATGCCGGGCAGAGTTGAAAGCCAACTGGAGCCACTCAAGTGACTCGTCCCAAGTGGTTTGTTTTTCTGCATGGTAGGCAATCAACGCAGCCTTCAGGTTGCGATTGAAACGCTCGGCATGAGAAGGTTGGGGATAATACGGAGATGTGGTGATATGTTCCACCCCAAGTCCGAAACAAAAACGGTGAAACTCCTTGGAGGTGAATTGAGGACCATTGTCAGTGACAAGTTGGGTGGGAACGCCAAAGTTTTGGAACAGACGGCTCTTCAAAGCCTTGACGGTGAGGCAGGTGGTCGCTTGACGGAGGGGAAACAACCAACAAAATTTTGAGAAGGCGTCAACGCAAACAAGTAGGTAGGTGTTACCTGACCTGCTACGTGGGAACGGGCCCACATAGTCGATGAAAACCTTCTCAAAGGGTCGGCTGGCGACCTCCGAGGCCAACAGTCCAAGTTTGGAGTTTTGTGCGGGCTTGCTTAGACAACAAAGCTTGCAAGCTCTCACCCTTTCAGCAATGTCTCTGTCCATTCCCTTCCAAATGAACTCCTTGCGGATTTTTGCAATGGTTTTGTGAATGCCCAGGTGCCCACCTACAGGAGAAGAATGGAAGTAGGCAAACACCATGGGAACCAAAGCACAAGGGAGAACAATGCGGGTACCGCCTCCATACCTGGGACGACAACAGAGGACTCCCTTGGAGAGGGAGTACGGGGGCTTTGGGGTGCCAGACTCGATGCCTTGCATGAGGGGACCGAGCTCGGGGTCAGAACGCTGGTGCGGAGCAATGTCTCCAAACGCCAGGGGAAACTCCAACAGCACCGCACCACAGCTGGGATTTTCTCCAGGTGTGGGAGCGTCGTGATACATCCGAGACAAGGCATCGGCGATGATGTTCTGCGTACCCCGCACATGCTGTACCTTAAATTTTAAGGCAGAAATTTTGACAACCCAACGCCCTATCTTACCAAGCTGGCGAGGGTGCGCCAGCAGCCAAGAAAGAGCCTGGTTGTCTGTCTCGAGGAGAAACTCAGCATGTTCAAGGTAACGCCGGAACTTGTCAACGCCAAACACCACCGCTAAACACTCCAGTTCATAGACAGACGAAGCTTTCTTTTCTGGAGGTGTAAGGGTGCGTGACGCAAACGCAATTGGTTGTCTGACACCATCAATTTCCTGGGAAAGCACCGCCCCAATGGCACAGGAGGAGGCATCCGTCTGTAAAACAAACGGCCGAGAGAAATCAGGCATCCGGAGCACAGGAGGCTGCATGATAGCCTCCTTGAGACGCTCAAAGGCCGACTGCTGCGCATCTCCCCATTCAAACCTTGCTCCTTTCTTTCTGAGCGCATTGAGGGGAGCAGCGATTTCAGCCACATTGGGGATGAAACGGCGATAGAAATTCACCATCCCCACAAAACGAGCGACACCCTTTGCGTCCCGAGGGGCGGGGAAATCCCGAATACCTTGTGTCCGGGCTGGATCAATGCGTATTCCTCTGGAAGAGACCATATGCCCCAAAAAGGAAATTTCATTCTGGGCAAAAGTCACCTTCTCAGGGTTTACTGTGAGTCCAGCCTGTTTGAGCCTAGTCAACACGTCCTCAATGTGACGCAAATGATCCTCAAAAGTTTCAATATACACCAACAAATCATCGAGGTAATTGAAAACAAACTTGAACTTGACATCATGGAAAATTGAGTCCAACAGACGGGTCAGTGTTTGAGCTCCTACGGCAATTCCCATAGGCACCCGCGTGAACTGATAGAGATTCCAGGGAACACAAAAACTTGTCAAATGTCTCGACTCTTTCTTGAGGGGGATTTGGTGATGGGCCTGATTGAGGTCGAACACAGTGAAAAACTTGGCCTTTCCAAACCAGTCAAAGGCAGAGTGAAGATCCGGTAAAGGCACACTGTCAATCTCAATTTTGGCATTCAACCTCCGGTAGTCAAGAACCATGCGAGACTTTCCATTTGGTTTTGGGACCAAGAAAGCCGCACTTGAGTATTGAGATCTAGAGGGTTCAATGACCCCATCCTTCAACAGATCATCAATAATGGCTCTGAGAGCTTCCATTTTTGGAGGCGCCAACTTGTAAGGTTGACTGCGCACCGGTGTGTTGTCATTGAGCCGGATCTCGTACTCCATCAAGGTGGTGTGGCCAAGTCGCGAAGTGAGAACCTCAGGGAAACGAGAACACAACTTCTGCAAGGCCTCTCTTCGATTCGGCGCCAAATGTTCAAAGGGTTCAGGCTTCTCTTTGTTTTTGGGCCCTTCTTCTAGTGATACTTCCTTGACCATAGCACGCCCATTGGGCCCTGCCAAAGGCACAAGCACGTTGCGCTTGAACTTGAAATAGCAGCACTCACGTTGCAAATCTACAATCAAACCGGTTTTCTTCAAAAAATTTGCCCCCAAAATACAATCTATCCCCAAATCCTTGGACACCAAAAATTCCCAAATCCAAGAAAATCCCTCAATTTTGAACTTGAAAGCCACAGACAACTGAACTTCCATGGGAGCATTACTTGCTGTGAGACAAGTAATAGAAACCTCCCGAGTTCTTCTGATGGCGCCAGATTCAAGCAAAATCTGATGAAAACCCGAGGAAATGAGACTCACAGCCGCCCCAGAGTCTACCAGAGCAGGGAACATGGAATCTCCAACAGTGACGAAAATGTGAGGACAAACGCTTGTGGGAGCACGGATGCCAAGAGGCGCGACACCCACTAAGACCTTGGCTAGAGGTTCGCCAGGCGGAACAGATCCCGGCAGCTGAGGTGGTGGAGAGCGGGGGTTTACCGAGGCAAACCCCCGGCATCCCCGTTTTTTGGAACGGCGGGAACTTGTTGCCGACAAAAACGGCGGATGTGACCACGTTGTCCACACCCAAAACATATGAGAACAGGACGACGGGGCACATCTCCGCTTCCCAAAGAGACCTGACCCACCAGAGCACGAGGCGTGCGCTGGTTGGCCTCCCTAGTCCCTTCCACCCTACGTTGGTCGATGAGCTGCACATTTCTGGCTGTGACAACCAGCTGGTCGAGCTCCGCAAAGGTGACAGGTTTGGAACAAAACACCAGGCGGGAACGCTCTTCCGGTGTTATCCCGTCCAGAATGACCTGAACCACCTCCTCCTCACTGAGGTCCAAACGCAACACACGACTGGCACTGCGAACCTCCGTGCAATAGGCAGCGAGGCTTTCACGAAGCCCTTGCGACCTATAAAACATCTGCATTTTGAGGTCCTCACGCATCCTCCCAGGGACAAAAGTTTGAAGCGTTTGCCTGTGAAATTCCTCAAAATTTCCCTTCTTGGACAGAACCAGATTCAACAAATCAGACAGTGGAGAACGGCAATATGGGATCAACAAACTGAGAAGCAGTGAGTCATCAACACCCGGAATTTCCCTAATTCGGAACAAGTCTGCCAAAAATTTCAACAATCTGTGGACTTCCAATCCATCAACACAAGGCAGAGCCTGCAAAAGAGGCGTCAAAGGGTTGGGAAGCTTGTTGTACGAGGCAGAGGCCAAAGAGCCAGAACACTTGGAGGTGGGCTCGTTTTGTTGAGCCGGAGCGCACGGAATGGGAGAGCAAGAAGCTGGAGCCGGACCAACTTCGGTCGAAACCTCATTGCGACTGACCGGAGTAACTTCGGTCGCCACGTTCGGTTCTTCCGAAGTGCGTTGAGTCTTAGGGCCAAGGGCCGCTAACATCTCATCCAGGTTCCCAGAAACCTGTTTGAGCCAGGCAAGGTCGTCCCCCTTGAGTGAGCCTACGGTAGCCAACAGGCCAGCGCGTCCCCTCAAATGTCCAATGCGAGAAATCGCTCGGGACCTCGCCCTACCGGTCAAGGGCTCATCTTTCAGTTCCTCGACACGACCATCCCACTCCTCAAATTTTGACCTGCACGCCTCCAACTCATCAGTGACCACTAAGGTGGGTGGCCACGATGTGACAAACTTGCTCGCTGTCAATCCTCGCAACTGTGTACGCAAAGAGCTCACATCAGTCGCAGGTTCAGCTCCCCTAGCCTTCACCTCAAACACAAGCTCGTCCTTGAGCAGAAACTCGGGAATCAAAGAGCTAGACATTCTGACACCTAACACAAAAATTGACACTTTTCAGACACAACAATGCGACAAATAACACTCACTAACTTCCTAAGACCTCTAATTCACAGACGAGAACACAACCACGGGGCCAACAATCAACATCAGCCTGCCACCAACAGGCCAAAATCAGAATCATGAGACGACCACAAAAACAAATAAATAACTAACAGACAAAGAACAAATGAACCACTATGACTAAACACAAATGCCATGTCCTCCTAGCCTCAACAAATTTCATTTGAAAAAATTACCAACTTTATTTACTGTGCAAAAAAAATTTTTTTTTTTCCTACTACTTTTATCAACCTACTGCACAGTAAATTGGACCAACCACGCTCTGCTACCATTTGTAACCGAATTCCCAACTCCATTGATCAAAAGGGTGAAGCCCTTGGAAGCGCAAAATCAATGGTGGGATTCCGGCACAATATTGCTGAGGTGGAGGA